TAAGGACGATATCAATAACTAATATTAATAGCACAGCTTCATCATGCTTACTTCATGACGTGTACACAATCAAAATTGACCAAACCCTGACGTCCCAGTGTTGCTCATTAAGCTTAGTTTGTGAAGGTAACGTTACTGGTATTGTGTGGCCTACTGTATGACGACAACCTGTCGACAAGGAAACTGTTTGTTTTTGAAATAACCAAACACCGTTTGAAGAACGCTTATTTTGACTCGAACAATTGATGCATCCAAACGATTGTACAGTACTGATCTGATAATAATACTACCAGTATTGTCATTTGCAAAATCACCCTAACGTAAACAATCAATTTAAGAGCTTCAATCAATTTAAGACAAAATGTACATGAGCCAATGAAAAGACGTGAAATTTCCTTGAGCCAATGAAACGAGGCGAAATAACCTAACCACACAATTTATATGCAAAGTGGTATACATTATTCAAGATATAAATATGCGTCCTAAATTGATTGTTAAAATGAGATCAAACTTGCTTGGTTTTTGTTGATTTAGTCATTGGAAATACATCGAAACCCAATATAATTGATATGAGGTTGTTCCCCATTAATTCAGCTACAATCTCCAAGTTTCAGAGGTCGAAAATGTTGAATGAGGGGGGAGCTTTGGAAGTTCTCCCCAGCCGCCTTCCTCAGATGCGTCTTAAATTGATTGTTTACGTTATTAATAATGCCATCAAACGCTGATGTGTGAGATTCCTGTTAATATATAGCAAGCACTATGTGGCTGGACGTAACGTTACTGTACTGTACTTTGAAACCTGCATGTAGTGGTCCTAGCTCGGTCCTAATAAGCACTGGTAAACTTCGACTCATCGATGCCTAGGACCTGCGTCAACCCGAGATATATGCACTTGTGTCAATAGTACAACATTGATCTCTAACAGTAGACGCTCAAGGCCACATGAGGTCAACGCACTGGTCAATCCGACATAAGCCAGTATATATTATATATATATGCCGGCGAAGGCGATCACAGGTATCAAGCATGACAAAAAGGCAAGATTAATATTAACGTTAAGGCATGTATGTCGTCACGCATTCACGGGGGAGACGCAGCCCCGCAGGTCGCCTTGGATGGCCAACTTGTCCAGCTCGAGCATCGGCACCGCGGCGTGCTTGACGTTGGTTTTGAGTTGTTTTCGAAGGATCACGGGGGTGAACGTGCATTCGCGCAGGTCCTGCGCTTCCTTGAGGTTGGCCCGGCGTTGCCATCGGTTTTGAAAGTAATGGGGCTGGTATAAGCGGGTGACGACAGGGTTCATGTCCTTGGCCGATCCATCTGCCTTCAACGAGCGACTACGAAAGGTCGTTTTCGATGTAACCCCCGATGGATATGACGAAGACGGCGTCGCCGTCGGCGCTTTGAAGTCAAAACCCGATCCTCCTTCTTCGATCAACTTTACTTTCGTGGCGCTGTCCAATTTGTCAAACACGAGCAAGGCTTTTTTCTATGACAATAATGTCAATGTTTAGATTTTTCGTCTCAAAATGATACATATAATGAATGCTAACGTTACCGTATCGACTGCATGAAACGCCCAAAAACATTTGCGCGAAGCCGCTCGCACGTCGCCATTGGCATCGCATAGTGCTGGTAACAACACTTTGGAGATTTGGTCGGGCACGCCATGGCTACGATACACAAAATATCGTGAAAACGTGAAAAAACAATTGTGATTTTTGAACCCAAACGTACCGACTCATAGACCTCGGATTCCACTGATTGCAGGTTAGTGTCATGTATTCCATCGCGTGCTTTCGCAAGCTGGCGTTACGGCTCGCACATGCCTCCACAAGTCTATTATACACCACGTCAATACGTGAAATGCTTCATCTTTCAAGAGACAATCATTCACTCGTACTTTGGAATAGCAGCGTAATGTCCAATACGAGAGCTCTTGAGCACGCTTTGGATGCACGAGTCAGCTGCCGATGCAATCACCTAATTGAATGATCAACAATAGTTCGTACATAGAATGGGAATATAGCCACGTTTCCTAGTAATACGAACCTCAATCGTGATCCCAAGGGCTTTGAGTAGCGATGTCAAGAACACGTCTACTAACGGACCGAACGCCGCATCTTTCATATTGTTGGCCAAAATGGAAATCGTCAACGAAGCCTCCTTGGACACACTGGACCGAATGTCAGCCACTTGCTCGGCAACGAGATCTCGTAGTTGGTGGATCCCGTTCACAAACTCAGGGGAACTGTGGGCTTTTTCACTTTTGGCCCATGCTTGAATCAACTGCAAGGCCTACGCAAGTGCACACTTGTAAGGGCATACAGTATTAGTACAATTGTGTACAATATACTTGAATTCGCTTCATCCAGTCCACGTGATTTTGAAGGCTGCTTTCAATCGCCTTGACGTTGTATGGCCCCTTTGATTTCAACATTGCGCTCGAATTAGGGCATAACAAGGTTATTGCGAAGAAGAGATATCCACGTTGGGGTCTTACGTCTTGAACAGCCATGATGATTGTGTTGCTGCTGACGTTCCAAGGGGAGTTGCGCACTGCCGACTTCCACTTGGCGGTCGGATCTATTTTTAGATTCGTAGCATCGTGCTGCGGCTTTTGATTGACCAGTCGAACATTCGAATTTCAATGCCGTTGAAAATCCAGGCTTTATAGTTAACTGTAAATTACTCCGGAGCACTGTAACGGTAAGTTACTTATTGGTGATTGAAAGCGGATTTGAACAATTCGGAGGAAGGGGGAAAATTTCGACCGACGTTGGATGCTTGATGAAGGAGATTATGCGTTCACACTCAACGCTCAAACAACAAGTGGAAACGTTATCTTACTGCGCCCGATACAGTAGGACAGTACTACTACAGTACGTAGTATTAATATTGTGCTTTTCACTCGTTTTGGCTATTCACACTATAAACCTGGGTGTTTGTTGCATCGACCTCAGTGTTTAGATAATCCGTGCCCTCAATATGCCCTACACTGGAAATGCAATGAATGACATCAGGGCTGGAAAGTTCACTGTGGAATGGATCGATTAACACTGTTCGCTTCGCGTTAGCTGTACAGCACTACTAAAGCTTGAGGATAAAATATTGCCACATAAGAATTGCTGAGGACCACATAGGAATTGCTGAGAGCCACATAAGAATTGCTGAATCGCACATAATTTCTGCTGAACGACACATGAGATTTGCTGAATTGAATATACAGTATGTTACACAGCGAGATCCACTTCGGCAGACATTAGGGGGAGTCAATATAGAAACCAAACTGCTTTTCGTTTTGAAAACTGCTTTTCGCGTTTTGCTTTTCGTCACGAAAAGCAAAAGCACCTCGCGAGCAGCTTTTCAAAAACGAAAAGTGAAAAGCAGAATGTAAGCCAATCAGCGTGAAGATAGTGATAGCCAATCAAGATGCACATAAT